TTTTTGGCGTGGCCATATAGCCGCCTGCCAATAGAAGCGGGTCGCTGGTGTTCATTGATGACGTGACTGCTGATGAAAGTAGCAAGATGAATTCTGAAGTGTACAGGGCTACGTATACTCTCAGGTCAAATTCAGCCAAATGCTGCAGAACTGATAGGACGCCACATCATATTGCAGATGGATAATGACCCAGAAACATACAGTGAAAGTGACCCAGAAGAATTTCTCAAGGCCAAGAAAAGGGATGTTCTTCACTGGCCAAGTCAGTCAAATGATCTCAGCCCAGTAGAGCATGTTTTTCACTTAGTGAAGACAAGACTGAATGCGGAAAGATCCACAGACAATCAGCAGCTGAAAGCATCTCGAAGGAGGAAACCTAGCATTTGGTCATGTCCATGGTGTGTGCATACAAATGGCTGTAATTCCAGAATGGTTACAGCCACACTTTCTTTTGTCAAACTCCTTGAATTAAAGCCAAAAGTGAATGAATGAATGACACTTTATTACAGACTCAAGGTCCAGGTTCAGAGACAAATAAATAAAGCAATAAAAGAACAGTTTAAAATGAAACAATAAAGACAGAAAATACATAAGTGTTTCATTTCATATTCAATGTGTATACAAAGGCGAAATGCCAAAAAAAAAAACACTTCACACTGCCAATATCTATGAGCCTGACTGCAGTGCATTTGCTCACCTTTTTCCATCTATGCAACTTCCTTTCCTATTCCACAACATAAAGACCAAGGGCATAGAACGCCGGTGCCATTTGCAACTCCTTAGCAAACATATTCTATCAACAGCGGCTGTGGTGAAAGAGAGCTGCTTTGTTTACAGCTTGTATATCCAGTCTAGCTATTCTTCTTTCCCTTTCTGAGTGGCGAATACAAATACCACTGACAGCTGGTAGAGAAAGCTATTTCTCACACAGGCGCAAAATCTATGTACTAGTTGGCAGTTGGCTATAATCAGTGCAGTATATTCACATGCCATTTTTTTTTTTCCAATCTGGCTGGCTCAGACTAAGGCAACACAGCAGGTGTGTCTCTGCCCTAAACCTAGACAATGATTCTTCAGCCTTTGAAATAGTGTGAACACACCTGGGTTGAGTGTTCTGTCTGCATCGCTGAGTTCCATGGTCTCACTGTGAGGAGATCTGTCTCCAGTCGACAAGTCTGAGAGGTGAATCAGAGGAAATGGCTCCCTCTTCTCTGGAGAGCTAATGATGTAGCCAAAGGATGGCTGAAGAATAAAGAACAAGCTTTAAACACATTTCACAGTTCCATCAAAGGAGGATTCTAAAAGGACAGACTGACATTCTGCAATTTTTACTGATCATGTACGATGTGTTAACTCACATTATACATTTTAATTAGCCCTCCCGCACAACCTGAATACACAACTTTACTATTCACATTATATGTTCACTCAGTCGGGCACAATGTGAGTGCTCACACTAGTTGTTTCAACAGAACGTGAAACAGGTGTGCCCATTAACAACTCCAATCAAGTCAAGGGCAACTAAAAAAAAAAAAAAACTGCGTTTTACTTTGTACAGCTGATGAACACTGGTAATCTGTTGTCAGTATATCTCCTGTTGCTGCCGGTCATGACACCGCTTTGATGACAGACAACAGTATGGTGCGGCTTCATCCATATACAGTATGGAAATATATTATGGACTTGTTTCAGTTTATTCTGCCTACAAAATTTGATATCTTGTCTGTGCTATGTTGTTGTCGTCGTACTCACGCAAGTGCACATAGCTAACTTCAGACTGTGAACCTGAAAGACAGCTAACCAAAGTTCGAACATGACAAAAATTTATTTGATTGTCTGGGATTAGACCATTGGTCATTCAGCGATTAATTGTACATCAAAACAATAACTAATGGGGTGGAAATTTGGCTTGATTCTAAAAAGCAGTCGGGGTGACTGAATCTGTTCTAAAATCAGGGCAAATCCATACAGTTTCTGCTCAGCATAAGGCATAAAGCACGACTGAAAATAGACTCAACACCAATAGAGTAGACCTTTTGAGTGATCAGACACCAACTTCATGTCAGTGTTGGTGGACATCCCATAGATAGCTTTATGTATGAATACATTCTAAATTGCCTCCAAGAAACAGAGAAAATAGTTTTAACTGAGACCCAAAAAAGCAATTTTGCTCACCCGTTTAACTCCATTCATATCATTAGTACTACCCAGGCTGCCTAAGGCTTCAGAGCGTTGTCCAAAAAACTGCCCTAAAGAGAGTCGCAGGTAGTTTTGGTCCTCCTGCTTAAACTCTGAGGAGACCTGGGAAGCCCTCATCAGAATGTAGCTGTTGGAGGGGACCTTCCAAGACGAGAGTCTGGTAATTAAAAAGAAAGAGGGGGGGGGGGGGAATACCTGCATGAATTGGTGCTCTTTCTCAAACTCCTCCTGATCTTTAACGATCTTTTCCAAAGCATCACCTACATAAGAGGACAAAATTTTTTTTTACCAAAACCATCATTAAAAATGTTAACCTTTATATATAACCTATATATAAAAAACAAAACAAACACTACAGTACAACAATCTCAGAGTACTGTAATAAAGCTGTTGATTTGGTACATACCA